GAGATTCAAGTAAACTCTACGAAATAAATATTAAAGATCGTATAATGTGTAACAGTTGGTACAGAATCCATATATCCATATTAATTGCTATAGTATGATAATGATGGAAAAGACTCGCACAAAATTAATTTATTTAGCTCTAACTGCAGCACCAACTAGCTATAATCTATGCCTCACCCCCACCCAATGTACAATCCACCGAATGTGGCTAAATTACATTAATATTGTCCATACAAAAGCCTATAGTACTGATCGTCATAGCCCTTTATTGTCCTTTACACTGGTTTCGCTATCCTTATTCCCATCCTTCTCTCCGTCCCCTTTTCTCTCGGATCCACCACCCAAACCTTTTCTCTTCTCCAATTTACTTCTTCGTGTACTCGTTTCACCCAATCCAAAATCGCTTCCATTATTATCTTCTCGCGAAGGTAAATCTGAAACTGATGCACTCATGCGCAATGCCTGCTTCTCGGTCTTTGTTAATTTCCCTACAGGCGCCTCATATCTCGAAGAAGATAACGACTCGGACTGTCGGCGATGACGGGGAGACGACGGTTGGTTGGGATTCCAAGTAGCATCAACATCGACCAGGAAGAACCTCACACCATCTGGGAGTTCATATGCTGATGTTTGCGGGTTCTGAATTGAAAATATCACAGTATTAATAGGAAGTTGTGAAGAAAACAATCAATCAAATCATATTACTATCGCTAAAAGACAGTCTTTTCTGGACATTTACCTTTGAATCGGCCACTTGTTCTGTAATATTCAAGATACGTCTAACAGTATACATCTTATTTTGTAATTGTGCTTCTAATGTCTCGTTGCTGCGTAAGAAGTAATGGGGAGCGTTGACATTGAAAGCAGCCCACGTCTTTGTCGTATTTTGTCTAGTCGGAAGGAACAATGCAATATCGTTTGGTCTGAAACTGGTAAGAATAAAAGTACATTAGATTTTAACGACGTCGGGGGAATTCAAAGAAGCTTGAACGTATTTTGGATTCGCGTAAACACTTACTTTCTGAATGCAATCTTGTCCTTCGCATCTTGGCTCGCTTTCTGATACTTTTCTGCAAAATTAAATATTTCACGTCATTCAAATGTTTTATTATATTTTCATTTACCCCATTCTCCGTCACTCAAAAATTTGAACAATTCTCATTTCACGTATTAGAATTTAAGAATTATCCCACCCACAGACAAACGCTTACCCCTAGCCGTTTTTAAATCTTTCTGAGCCTTCTTCAACAAGCTTTCCGCATCTTTAACAGACCGCTTGATCCAGTCACAAGCCTCATCCAAATTTACGCTTTTAGCAGTGTTCGCTATCTTCTCGTATTCTTCTATTAGCATTTCCTCTTTGCTTGTTTCCGAAAATGTTACAGCCAGATTGCCCACGGGATCAGCATCTGCTCCTGACGCGCCAGAGTTGGAAGTTGAAGAGAAAGACGTGGAAGTAGTTGATAAAGGTGAGAGAGGAAGTTGCTTATGAAATGAGGCCATGAGTGAGTGGAAATGAGTGTAATAGTCGAGTAACAAGCAAGCGACTAGATGACACGCTTTGGAGTAACGCGAATTAGATGAATGGAGTGTTTTGAGAGACGATTGAAGTTCAGCAATCGTTTTTTCGAGTTCTGTAATATTACTTTGCATCTTATCACGTTTGGTGGCGTGTGACGTTGCTTTCTGCTTCATCTACAGAATGAATGCTATGTATTAGAATCGTATATCAAAACATAAATCAGCAATAGTAACCAACCTCTTCTATCTTTTGTTCGTTCAACTTATTCTTCGTCTCTTTACTCTCGATCTTGGTGTTCAGTTCCTTTATTTCTCCTTGCAGCTTTTGTGTTTGAGCGCGCATTTCTTCCAAAGAGGTCTCATATTCCACATGCTGTTTTTGAAAGCGTTGTTAGCTTGCCTATTTACCATACTTTATCGTAATAGATAAGCACTCCCAACAAACCTCTTGTTCCCGTTTCGCTACCAGATCTTGTAATTCTTTTTGTGAATTGCGAGTTTGTTCCACAAGACTTTCTGACTCTGATCGTAGAGTATTTATTTCATTTTCCAGTACAGCTCGTTGTTTCATTTCACTATCATAGTTTTCTCGCCTTTTCTCAAGCTAAATAGGAGCGCCAACATTTAAGTATAGATAGTCATTAACATTACAAACACTAAAAAAATGCCATACCTCAGCCTGACATTGCTCAAACTCGTGCTGTATCTTCTTGTAAACTTGTTCCAAGTCCGAATATTCATGCTCTTTAGCGCTTGCTTGTGATTTGGCTTCTTCTAACTGTCTAGTCAATGAAGCCTTCCCTTCTTCATAAGCCTTTATTTCTTCCGTCAGCTCGCGTTCTATCTCCTTCAGCTTCGACTGCAAAGATGTCATCTCTTTTTCATTGGAGTGACGTAAATCTGAATATTGTGCTTGTAAGCTTTTTGTCTTATCCAACTCTGTATGATACAATGACTCAAATTCTTTCCGTTTATATTCCTCAGTCTCGAGACGCTTTTGCAATTGTTCGATTAGTTTATCCCGTTCGTTCAACTGTTCGTTTAATCGTTGTTCAATGTTTTCGCTGGCGCTCTTTCTTTCATTGTGAAGCATTGATTCTAAAATTCTTCTTTCCGTTTCCTCCTTCAATTGATCAGATAGTTTACGGTTCTGTTCTTTTAGCAATTCATTCTCATTTTGTATCCCACTTAAATGGACCTCTAATAATTGTTGATCTTTATTAGGCATGCCATTTGTCTTTTTCATAGTTTCAACCTCATGCACACTTTTTTCGTAAGATAGTTGTAGCTGGCAATACTTTTCATCAAGATCATTAGCGCGTTTCTCTGCCGCTTCCTTCTCCTCTATTGCTGTCGCGTACAATCCATCCAGCGTTTGCAAACGAGCATCTAACTCAGTAACCTTTTTTGTTAAAGTTTCGGTTTCCTTAAGAGCTGTACTATAAGATTCCTCGACTTTTCTCGAATTTTGATAATTTGTCTGTAACTTGCTTTCAAGGCCTTTAATTCTTGATTCATAATTCTGGAAAAAATTTTATATACTTTAGTATATACCTACAGTAAGTAGTAACAATAGGAAGACAGACCTTGAGCTTATTTTCAGCTAATTCCAGCTTTTTTGACTTGTCTAAAAGCAATGAACCGGAATCGACTTCACTTTCAGAAAAACTTTGTCGTGATAAGCGTTTCATGGTGCGAGATGCCTGTCCTCTTGCGGGAACAGTTAAAGTGCTATAAGTTGATGTCGTGCGCGACGACGTTGAAACATCACGATCTGTGAGCAGTTTATCTGAGACAACTACAATTGATAAGAAACATATCAGTTCACAGGCTCGTAAAGAAATACTCCCAAACGAGTATAGATAACTTACAGTTAGTTCTTATTATGCGCTCAAATTCAACATTCATGCCATCTATTTGACTAGACATCTTCAATAAGACACTTTGCAGTTGTGCCACTGGATTGTCATTTGTTTGATTATTGCCAGTAGTCTTGTGTACTGATACTCGCATTTGTTCGAGCATGTTGACAAATGCTAATACACATCGAGCGTTAGTTTCATGCCAATAAACTGGTTAACAAAAAACTAAGCTTACCTCGAATATCTTCTCTAGTAAGCTCCGGTAAACGGCCTCTACGATTTACCGTAGAAATTTCACACATCGGCGGAGCTTCATCAAGAGCTGTACAAGAGGATGTCAACATAGGTAACTAAAATTTGACACGCGAATTATACAGGAAAGTCAACACACCCGCTATATTGAAGGGCATATATCTTTTTACGTTGAGACGATATGTATCTCGACGCTTCTGCTCGGTATCTCGGAAGAGACTCAACACTTCTGCCAGTTTCTGCGACCTTTCAAGAAGTATCTACATTGTAGAATGTCGTCGCGGAGGCGGTGATCAGTATTCTATTTAACTTACGTTAAACATCAGAAAATATGACATTACATACTCTCATGTATTCTTTTCGCCTCACTATTTCAACTACTGTTAATCCCTGTTAAAATAAAAATTTGAATAAAAGGATATCCGAAAATGATATAATACAGAGAAGACTTCGTAATATTACATATGCAAGAGGCATCTCATGCACGATGGACAGATCTTTGAAAGTATGAGTTGCAGTCTTGATTTCCGCATCCAAACGAGACAGTGCAGACGGAATACTAGCAATGCTTGATTGCACCCGCGAAATCCCTCGGAGGCTATCCATCACTGCACCCGTCATGGCATTCTAGAGTTAGAACATCAGAAATTATATAAGGCTCGAACCTGGGCTATCAAGCGCAGTAGTTACGAAAACCCACCTTTCGTTGTATAAACCACGTGACCTGGTCGCGTAAGTTCTTATCAAACTTACCCATGTCTTAATGCAAGCATACGATAATTAGTAGAGAGCCTTCTCTGTAATAACTATACATGGACAACGAAATAGATAAATACCAGGCAAATAGTCATCTTCGTGTATTATAGCCAGACGTTCAATTGCATCGGTTGATGATCCAGTCAACTCTTGAGCTTTTTCTCGTATTCGCCCTATGTCTATTATTCACGAATACGACATTAGACAGTTGCTTTCCGGTAAAATTAGATCTCCAACAAAAAAATACCTCGTTGCAATCTATCATTCAACTCTTTTATTTTTTCATACGTCTGTCGTGCTTTGCTTAATTCGACGTCCATTGAAAGGAATCTGTTTACAAGAAGTTTCCTTAGATAATGCGAAACACAGCATACAAAGTTCTCGAATTCTCGGGATACATACTCGGTACCATATTTTTTCCGTTTCAACTCGTCTGTGGTTGCCTGTACATTACGGACAGTACGTTCCAAATCGCCGATGCGTTTTTTCAATTGTTCTGAATCGATGTTCGCGAGCATAGCACTAGAGCTCAGTCGTCGATAACAAGTCGATAAAATCCATTCATTAAAATCTTACCAAAAACAGCCTTTCCACTCTTCTCTAGCTTAAGCAGATCTTCTTCAGATATGAAACTTGCTAAAGTGTGAGATTCATTTTGCTGTGGTATCAAACCGGCAACTCGCATAATTTGAGGATGAATCTTTATACGTTTAAGCACTTCTAGGTCTACTGAAACGCTATTAAAAATATTCAAACATTTAGTCATGAAACATACATGTATATTACAAAGTATTTAAACGCATCCTCGATAATCAAATTACCTAAAAATTAATTCAGACTGCTCTGTAACCTCCTTCTCGGCTGAATCGTGAAACGCCTGATGTAATTCAGTTATGGACCTACAGACATTTAACTCAGTATAGGCGTGTAATACAGACATGTGAGCCTCGTCACAATACATCATACTAACTTATTATGAACATCCAAGTTTTCCATTGCAGCTGTCAAAGCCTTCGCTTGAACTTTTTGCTCGGTAAGCAGTCGTTCACATAATTCCAAATGTGTTCTGGCAGAATGTACATATTTCTGGAACATCAAATAATTTAGATCTTATGCACATAACGACAAATTATCGAAAACTCGGAAAACATAGTAAAGCCCACCATTCCGTGCTCATTATGTTTCTCAAACAATTCAACGTACGCAGCTATGCTAAACGTTCGCCATTTCGCGCGTAATTGTGCCGACTGCCATACTGACAACATTCGCATCATACCAAGGCACATGTTAGACAAAGCAAGTATTTGTCAATAATGTAATTCGATCCAAGATCAAAAAAAAGTTCTCTTTATTGAATTAATAAAATATTATCTTACAAGGTATTTGAGGTTGTAAACTTGCAATTTCACGCAAGGTCGTATTATCTACCACATTCGTCGTATTGAGCAATTCGCGACTGAACAAATATACTATTGACTCATTCTTCCAAACAAATCAAACATTCACATCAGATCATTCAATATTCAAGCAAGAAAGCTATAGACAGAGTGCTATACTTACCTCTCCAGAAGTACGAAGCACTTCCTCCACTTTGTCGGCTTTCACGGGTAGGCCGTCACCTGTCATTAATATCTGCATACTCGCCGGCACGCCTGAGGCGAGTTCCACTGCAGCCTTTATACTCTCTAAACTGCCGATAACATGTGAAGGAAGATCAAAAATAGTATTAACTTTAACTTAATGTACTGTTATATAGACTTTTTACTCATACGCAAGCACCTCAGATTTTCCGGGTAAACGAAAGTAGTTGTAATGAACGTACTCTGTGGAATAATTGTCCAAGTGCAGACGTTTACCGGTTTCTGCGCGATATATTTTCATCTTGTTAAGTGAGTGTAATGAAAGAGGTCAAAGAAAGAAAGGGAAATATGTAGAGTTTACTGTCAGCATTCCATTGTAATATGTACTTGCATGACATAACTGTGTAACGAACGGTGACGTACAGTGGCCCATGGACATCATGTGATCTCCGGTCATTTTAAATAGTTGTAATAATAATAACACTGATCGTTTGAATTGGATTTTCTCCATAACGACTTTGTCAATTTCATTAGTCTTTTTTTCCTTGACTTTACTTTAGTTCGACTTTGCAACGCTAAATTAAATCTTCTAAACATTTCGAATCAATGAATAAAATTACCAGACGAAAAGAGCGTGGAAAAGCTTGGAAGTGTGGAATCAGTGTACGAAAAATTGCTGAAACATTAAATCAGCCAAAAAGTACTGTGCAGGACGCTATTTCTGCTTACCGAAGTTCTAATTGTGAAAAACCTCCTCCCTGAAGTGGTAGAACGCGCATAATGACAGAAAGAGATAATCGTCATTTACAAAGAATTCTTAAAGAAAATCGACGCACAAATCTTCGAGAACTACGCGAAAACTTTGTTGCATCTACCTCAACTGATGTAAAGTATGATTACCATTAGCATTACAAAGTTTCTTTGGTCGAATCGGAACCAGAAACCGCTTGTGAATGAAGTCAATTGGCAAAGAAGACTTCTCTGAACTCGAGAACGGCAACATGGGAAAAAGAATGGGAATCCATTATTTGGAGTGATGAATCTAGGTTCGAGTTGTCGGTAAGAAGTATGTTTGGAGACAACCTCACGAAAAAAATGATGTTGGTTGTCTTCTTCCAAATTTAAAAAGGAGTAATGGTATGATATTTCACAAAAAATGGCCTTGGCGCAGATATGTTAGAAAACCATTAGTTACCATTCCTAGATACTCTAGATAATAATGAGAATTATCCTTTTCAGGAAGATAATGCATCTGTCCAGCAAGCAAAACTAAAAAATGGAAGAGAGAAAATAATATAAGTATTCCATGGCCCTAACTTTAATCCCA